GGGGGGGGTGGGGGGGGGTCTTCGACCTGAAAAATCAGGGGTTAGGATTTGCACCCAGTCGAAAGAAACCTTGCTATCGCAAGAGTAACTCCAGCTAGCTTCGCTAGCTTTCGTGAAAAGAACTGAACGTGCTGGTCCAAATGTGTAGCCTAACTGATAACTGTAAATCGCAGAGTGTTTTTGAGTATTTCATGATGGCATTCCTTTGCAGCTGCTCAGTTGGGACTCAGCAGTGGAGGTTTTGCTATTGCTTGCTATTGCTTGGAGCTTAAATTATCCCCCACATGGAAAATCGCAAAAAGCCCATATCGGCCTGTGGTCAAGTATTTTGAGATCTGTAACACTGTAGGGCCTATGGGGCCACGGGATGGAGGGGAGCCCATGTTTTCAGGTGGCCAGCTTCATGCTGCGCATGAGCGCACCGCGACAGCAATGCTGCCGTGGCACCAATATTCCTCAAAGGGTGGCCTACGCCTCGGTTCAAACTGGAGGAGACCCACCAAATGCCGTGCATGCCAAAACGAACAAATGTTGACAGCTTGATGATGGGGAGGTCAAATCCAAAAGTTTTGGAGTTCGGTTCCTCATGCATTGAGAGCATCAAACACATGAGCTCTGAGCTCTGGGCTCTGGCTCTGCTAGCCTCCCAAACAACCCGCCGAGTCATGGTATTCACCAAATCGATAGAACCTTCAACCACCAAGCTTATTCTGCGTGATGGGCTGGGGTCCCACGTGGGGACTTCGCTTTGGAAAGCACCCATGTCTCCACCTCTTTGGAAAGCTCACCTCCTTTTACCAACTTTACAATTATACCATGATGGTATACCTATACTTGGTGACTCAGCAAAATGTTCTCACACCAAGCTATTGACTTGTGTCAGACTCATTGATGTTTTGCCGTAGCCATGAAAACCATTACAGTCATTTTTGGACGAATCCACTCCCATCTGGGCCTTGCAGGATCCTGGCAGGGTTGCAAATGCTCGCCAAGAAGCAAAATGCAATTGCTACTCAAAGCTACAAGCTTATACAGTAACAGAAAATAACTATCCTGTTGCTCCATTCCGAATCCATGCTTCTGGACCGGCCTCCCTCTCCCTGTCCCTCTCGCGCCGCCTGGGGCAAAGCGGCGAACCAAAAACATGGGGATCTTCTACTTCAAACATGAGTGCCTCAGAAGTCACCAAAGTTCCCAAACCATTGACCCCAAGGAAAAGACGGGTGTCCGATAAACCCGAGGGAGCCTCTTGTGGTGGTGCCTGCCCGAGCGGCTGCGCCGCCGCCGCCGGCCTTGCCAAAGGACATGGGATGGTCTTCACATGTCTTCACATTTTTCTGTCAGCGCGCAGAAGATTGCAAGAAAGGAACTGCGAGACCGAACCAAAAGAGTTGTAGAATAGACAGGTCACACTGGAGATCAATGGGCTGTTTTTCCAACTTTCTCATCCCACCTCCACCTTCTTCCACTTCTCCGCTCATCTGGAGAAGGTGACTCCGCCCCCACGTCTTCGAAAAGTAAAAAGGTGACTTGAGTGGTATCTGTTGATGATCAACTTCTTGAGGGGACTTAAGTGACAAACTTCTTAAGAAAAAGCTAACAAGCTTCGGCTGAACCGAACACATAAGTCGACCGAAGCTTCGGCCAGGAGCTGGTGGACGGAGCTGCACCGTCCAAGAGTGGGTGGGTTGGAACGTTGGAACTTTGCTTTGTGGAAGATACTATGGCACAAGCTGCCTGGCTGGGGGGTGGGCGATACTTTTGTCAGGGTCTAGTCCAACGCATTGATGTCAAAAGTGAATCAGTGAGGCTGGACTATATCAAAGCACCGTTGTGTCATGGCATGTCATGGCTGCTGAGCCAAAGCGCACATTCACGTGTGAACCTGCAAATGTTGAATTCAACCGAAGCATTTCGCCCAGTTTTTCCAGAGTCCATCATCAATCAGGCCATACAGGTCAGAACTGGATGACTTTGTTCTTCTGGTTGAAACCTTGCCTTGGTCCGAGCAAGAATCCGAGCTGCCTAAGTCAAGGGGCCCTACCTGAGCCTTCAAGTCTAGAATACTTGCTGCTGAAAAGCAAAGATTTAATACCAGGTGGAAGTGCCTCTTCTGTACAGCCTTGTCAGATCATCTTCTTCCCACACATGGCCGCCCAGCACGGCCCGCATTCACTTCTTTTGGTATCCCGAGAGACTTGAAGCATCCGCCAGAAGGGCCCCGCACGGATGTTTCGCGCAGAGGCCCGAGAGATGTTTCACTCCAGGCATTGAGAGAAAAGCGCCAATCGGTGTGGCATTCGCCTTCGTTTTGGCTCCTCATCTGCCTTTGGCTCTGCCTTTGGCTCTGCCTTTGGCTCTGCCTTTGGCTCTGCCTTTGGCTTTGCCTTTGGCTCTGCCTCGGCCTGCCTTTGAGCCCTTGGGGCCACCCTTGCGCTTCACTTCGGCTTTCACTTTGGCTCGAGCCTTCCCTCGCCCTTTGGTTCTCTGCCTGAATGGGTGTCGGTGAAGATGCTTAGTTACAAAGAATTGGTCCTCACTTCCTCGCACTGTGCAAAAGCAACCACGAACGCACATTTCCTGACCCCGCCGACCAAGCCGACCTTGCGCCCCGGTTTCCCTTCAAGACCCCCATGGCCTGACTTCTTGGCTAACCTGCAGATGGAGACCGAAGCAACGAGAGCGACAACGCTTACAATGTGTTACAAGATCTGTATTCCCTTAGCGATGTGTCACAAAGCCCGACCCACCCTGCTCTGCAGCCGTGAAACACCAGTCTTCTTGCCCTGGGAACCTGCATCAAGAGTCTGGGCTAGTTCTTCAAATGGATGACTAGAATGCGCATGGCAGAAACGCCCCTGGAAAGGCACTTGCTGCCCTCTTGTTTGCAAGGATAGAACGTGTCAGAAGAAGCAAGCAAAGTGGTTCCGAGGTCCCGAGCCTGCGAGGCCAGCGCTAATGCTTGCGACCTGCCGTGTCACCCGCCAAAGTGGCTTTGCCAAACCCAAAACAAAACAAACAAAGACGGACAGGATCCAAGAGCCACTACTTTCCATAGGATCAGAATCTGATCCTTGACAGCATGGCTCAGTTGTTGTCATTTGATTTAGACAATAGTATTGGTGTCCAGGAGTGTATGAGTCTATCCTCACAAAATGTTTCAAGAGTAATTATTGATGTCTATCCGTCTAGTGGCTCAGCCATAACCAAAGCGTTTCTGGCTCCCCACTAGAACTGCCATCCCAACATCCCATTGCCCATTGCACCTGCCCCACTGTTGACACCCACCTCGCGTGCCAACTTCTGCGCCATCTTCCGTGCCGCGCGGAGTGATTCCGGCATCGGCTCGAAGTCCTAGCGGGTTGCTTCAAGTGAGTCTGAACAGTCGAACGACTTCCCGGGTTGTGCTACTCTTTGAGAAACATCCAAACGAGCAACGCTAAAATATGCTGATCTCTTCTTGATTGGCTTGGCTTGGATGCATCACTGCAGAATCATCCCTAAAGATTCTGCCTCGTCCGTCTGGTTGTTCTCGTCCCGGTGGTTCTGCAAGGTCAAAAGCTCCTGCATGGCCGTCGGTGAGCCTACGATTGGAGTGAATGATATTGAAAGCTTTTCGGCAGAAGTGGAGATGAACATTGTTCCACACCAAACTCAACTCCCCCTCAAAAAGACGTGACTTGATGGCTAAGTCAACCTTCGACATCATGGCCTCATACTGATCGATTACCATCACCACTACCGTAATCATCCGTCATCCCCATAACTGCCATAACACACGATCCGTGACGATCGCATGCCACCCGCTGTCTCCTTGCGATGAACCCGCTGGGCTTTGCAGTACTCGACATGGCCCATGGCCTCTCGCAGCATCTGGGCGCGGCGTTGTGGAGGCACCGGCTCTGCCGCCTGTCACAGCCGGTCGGCGGGGTTGTCACAGTCAACTGAAGGACGACGCAGGCCCCACACCGCCAACAAATCCAACAGCGCACGTCTTCCAATCTTGATGAACTCGACGTGCTCACCTCGCGCGGGCCCTCCACCGAACATGGCCTTGTCCAACTTCCCCACACCCGGCCGCTCCGTCGCCAAGGGTTCCATCACCTTGGCCGTCGGGTCATTGGGTCTGTCGCCAGCTGCGTCATCTCAGAGTCTGAAGGCTCTCAGAATGTAGTTCGCACGGCCTGTCTTGTGGGTCAAGTTGTGTTTGGGGAAGATGTAGGATCTTTGAGGGTGAAGCCATGGCCCTTTTTCTGGAAGATGTTCGAACGCGATTGCCAGGCCACGTAATCCACACCGGGGGTCTGGGAGATCGTTACTGTGTGTGTGTGCCCCTTGTAGTCACAGGGATTCCTTTGAATTGTTTTCTTTTACATGAGCAGGGGGCAGTAGCCCACTCATGAGTCTACTGCCAACGAAGCTGCTCATGAGTTGGGAGGATATCGGAGCTGATCACTCCGACGTACTTGCTTGGTTGTGGTGTTGACAAGCTTTCACTCCAATCTTCTGGTAAAGAGCTAATGCAGCTGCAGTCACGCACGGAACGCCGTCAACCTGTCGGACCGACCTCGCCCTTTAGGACTTTTCTGGACGTTTCAGGATTTGGGTTTCTTAGGCTGGCGTGTGGCACCGCTGTCAAGTCAGTACGCATATCCATAAGTGTGTGTCGAATCTATCTAAAGTCGTTTTGGCGGATCACCGAAGAACTTTCGGAGGCCACGAGAAGCTACGCACGGTGGAGGCCATCGCTATTAGGTTGGAGCCCATCGCTACTAGTAACAGCCTATAAAGCGTTCTAGTAGAATTCTAGTAACTACTCTCTCAGTCGTTCGCACCTTCCCAAGCCGCCCAAGCAGGTACGACGTTGCGCCAGTCCGGACGGACCGACGACCGACTTCTCCCATCCGAGTCCTCCCAGCCATGCGTTTTTGGAGGCCCAATCCCAGGGAGGCTCCCGTATCGCTGGGCACCTCGGACGCTCAAACGAAGCTCAGAGAGAGAGAGGTTTCTGTCGAGAGGGATCGCTACAAAAAAAGCCAACGGAGTGAAGAGTTCTCTACTACTTTGCCTTAATGGTCCCTCATCTTTGAGACACTCAGTGTTGAAACAAAAGCCTGCTTCAAAAGCACCACCACCCACCCACCCACCCCACCCCACCCCACCCACCCACTCCCTCCTGAGCAGCGGACCCCTCCACCCGCACCCACGAGTCGGGAGAACTCCACCACTTGCACCTCAGCCGTCAACCACTTCGGGCCCGGACGGACAGCGGCGCGAGGTTCGCGTCGCTTCGCCGAACGTTCGACCGTTCGACGCCTTCGCCCTGAGCCGTTCGGACGGAGTCCTGGAAATGCACCACGGAGTCCACGGCGGCAGGGCGTCCTGTCACGTCTTGAACACGCAGCAAAAAGTGAACACGCCGTCCTGTGCACCAGTTCCAACCAACCCGCCATGTTGTATCCATTACTGTTAAACCTCCAAGTGTCACCGTATCATAAGTTCCTTCCCACCCTGTATGGAGGCAGGCAAACACCATCTGCGTCCTCTGGGCGAAACTCGCCGCCCTTTGTCAGCTCGCGCTCGCGCGCCTTGGTCACGGGTGTCGAAACTCTTTGGATCTTAGCTGGGCGTGCTGAGCACACAAAACCAAAGCGAGTACGTGCTCCACGCAAACCATTCAATCAAACCCGCATATCCAAATGGAGGATTTGTACAGTACGTCCCAAAAATCTCTTGGGATGGGTATGTCCTATCTCAGGCATACCTCCGTATCGAGCAAACTTGGGGCCTTTGGGCCAATGGGAGATATGATGGGCAATGCAAAACGCATGAATGGTTGTGTTCCTCCTCCCCTTTGAGGTCTTGGTTTAGCGCAAGTACTGACTTCGCTCCTTTTTGAAGAACTTGCTGTTCCACCAGAAGGCGAGGTTTCTTGGTCTCTGCATTTGCCCTCACTGAAGGCTCAAGGCTGAGCGAGGGGTGCTGCTGTTATACAACATCTGCACTTAAAGGCACTTTGAGAGCATTCCTTGGTACCCATACTGGATTGAGAACAAGTTGCACCTCTTCCAAATCATGTTGGAATGGTTCGTGGCATTGGACTGGAACCATGTTGGATGGTGATGGCGTGGCATGCCAAACCTCTTTGCTGAATGTTGCTCATAACAAAATCGCAATCAACCCCCTCGTTTCAACCTTTCCGGGGTCCGTGAGCGCCGCCCCTTCGGGGGCCCAAAACTGCGCTGGATTCATCCACTGCGCCGCACGCACGGTTTTTCGAGGCCGTGAGCGCCGGAGCGGTCCGCCGGACGCGGATGGGACGTGAGGGTTCGAGTCGAGGGCTGGGCTCAAGGGCTGAGGATGGGGTAAGGGATCAAAAAAAAATATTCAACGGGGATCAATAAAAAAATAGAAAGGTAATCAAAAAAAAAATATTCTAGCCCACTGAGGATGGTTGGGGTAGTAGAGGAGAGTGTACCTCCCCAGGAGCTCCCTCCTAGTAGGGAGCTATTTCCACTGGTGAACCATTTTTCGAGTAGGCTACTCAATGACTGGACGGCAACCTTATCGTTGGGTACCTACTTTCTTCCCAGGGAGCTGCCTCTAGTAGAAAGCAATCAAGCCTCTATTTGCGCAAGCAGGGGACCAGGAGATCGACAGACGAGCGCCGTAGGAGAGCAAAAGACCAGCGGACCAGGAGACAGAAGGACTAGGATACCAGGGGACCAGCGGACCACAGGACCAAAGGACCAGGAGACCGGAGGACTAGGGGACCAGTGGTCTAAAGGACCAAGGGACCAGGGGACCAAAGGACCAGTGGACCAGAGGACCAAGGGACCAAAGGACCAAGGGACCACATTACCAGAGGACCCGCAGACCACAAGGCCAGGAGAGCAGCAGAAGAGGCCTATCAAGGAATATTTTTGTTTGATTCGCTTTTTGTTTTTTTTTTTGATCCTGTTTTTATGTTTTTTTGATGTTCTTTTTTTTATTTTGCTTATACCTATGCCCTGAGGATGGGGTTGGGCTGACCTACCGCCGGACCGAAGCGAATCCCGAATTGGGCTGCAAGGACTGCACAGGGCCGAGGATCTCGGGTCGGAAAAGAAAAACACGCGTACGCTTCTAGGCAAATCCCCCAGCAAGCCAACAAGTTCTTGAAACAGCTTTGGTCTAACGCAGGGGATTTGGCAACAGGTCATGCAAAGCAAAAGAGGGCGTCTAGCTTCACGCCCGAAGCTGCCGCGAAGCTCAATCCACGTCAGCGACATCACCCTCCTTGGGGCTTTTGGCAGGCTCGCTATCAGGCTTGGGAGCCTCCTGGCGAAGAGGGGTCTCAATTCAGGCGACAGATACATGTCCGACATGTCCTGCCCTTCAGCCTAATATTCCACGCCGGGCAATGGCTTCTAAGCAATTGTCCTTATGGCCTACCAACCCATCTGCATCTATACTGTATACGTTCAACTGATGTTCATTGAGACTATTGACCCACCCCCAGCCCCTGCCATCACGGCTGTCCCCCTGTGCCAGCTTGTCACCTGCTGGTTCCGGCAACTCGACCATGCCTCCGGCTTGGTCTCCGCCGGTGGCTCAGGAGGCTTGGGCTTTGGCTCCCTGAGGCCGAAAACGAATGGCAAACGCACGAGATAAAGGCCCCATAGGACAAAGGACAAGCTCATGTCGGAAAAAAGCAGGAACGAAACAGACCACGCAGGAGAGAAAAGACCTCTTCCCAACTGGCAGAGGGCAATTCGTAGCAGTAGCTTTGGCGGCTGAAGATAAGTTGCTGTACAGGCTTCGAGAACCGGCTGTGGCTCCTACATGAAGGTTCCTATGCCTATGTTGCATTGCATGGCTCTAAAGCAAAACAAGATCTGCGTGTTCTAAGTCTCCGGAGTACGGCCGCCAGTCTCGTCCGGCCTCAAGATCTCGTCCGCAAATTTGGCAAGCTCCTGGTTCTTCTTTTCCAGGTCTGAACAAAGCCTTGGGTGAGTCGACCAGCTGCTTTTTGTACGTATCTCACAGTCTTCTAAAGGGATGGCTATGGGCTATGGACCTCAAAGCCTAAGCGCTTCAACCGAAGGCAGGATGGCCGGATGGCCTGGCAACACCAAACCTCACTGTTGTCCCCAATCCGAGAAGCAACAAGTGATCCCGCATTTTTTAGGTTCACGCCTTCACAGTCTCAAGTCCGTGATCGAAGGAATCCGACCGCTGGTCACACCACATCGCCTGGCGAGGTTAAAAGGATCGCTAGCATGCAAAGCAGCGTCAGGAGAGGATCTCTGCCAGGACTCACCAACACCTCAAAGGTTTCATCATCGACCCGTCCCGTCGCTACATGCTGCTGCCCATCCGTCGCAGTGAAGCTGCCAGCCTTCGTGGAGATGCTCTTCACGAGCTGTCCTTCAAAGCGATACAACTGCCACAAAGAGCTCTCCTTTTGCAAGGTGCCATAGCGATCCCCCCGTGGGCCACGGATTTCCACCGGAACTCTGGATTGCCCGAGCCCCGTGTCCATCGGTCCAGCGCTGCAGTGTGGGAAGCGACTATTGGCGGTGGTGGACAGCTCGAGCCAGCGCCGTTCTTTGGAATCCGCTTTGAATCTGGCATACAGAAGCGCTTTACCAGTCTGACCCCCAAGAATCGCCACCGGTCCAACTGTGCCTGCATTCAACGAATTCAGATCCCCCCTCGGGACGGTGAAATGAGCTTCCGCAGACGGAGAGATCAACGCCGGGCACATGGCAGCGCCATCCGGCGCATGGGAGGGCCGAGCACTTGCGTGTCCCCGCACGGGCAGCGTACTCACGGTGGAGGGAGCACTCGCACTGCCTGCACCTGGTCTGGCCATGGAAGCCCTCGATGGCGGTGAGTTTGGCAAGGTCATGGGAGGCAAAGTCCCTGGAGCTGTGGATTGAGAATATGTCGGACCACCCGGGCGAAAAGGTGCTGATTTCTTCTCCTCGAACATCACACCAATCAGCTGAACTACGAAGAGGGCCATCACCAAGCCTGCCAGCATGAAAACCAGCAAGGCCGGAATCCCACTCAGGGCCGTTTTCTCCGTTGGTAGCACCAACTGCATCACGAAATTCAATTGCTTCTTTGCCATCATTCTGGCTTGTTTGGCTGCATCAGCATACCGATCGAAAAGCGCATGTTGCTCTGGTGCAGCGCTCACATTTCTTTCCACTGGCGCCTTGGCCACTTGCAGAGAAGACTGGAGCAATGACAATCGTAGATCATCAGCTTCTTCACATGTTGACTCGGCGAATTGCTCTTGCCCACCTTCTGCAACTGACACCCGAAGCAGTGCCAAGAAAATCAACACTTGTTTGAACATCGCCCAAGGCTCTAGTGTGAAACCGGCAGTGAAACGCACAGCTCAAAAACTCACCTCTCAAATGTAAAGGCTGTCAAATTTTCGATGGGTACGCTGGGTTGCCTGGATGTGTGAATCAACAGCCACTTGGCTTAATTTAGCTCCAATCTAGAAACCAGTATCGTCACTGCCAAATCAAATCTGTGTCACCTGCTGTGCAGGTGCGGTTCGGTGTCGCTGCGGCTGAGCAGGTTCCAGCCGCTTGATCCACAATGATTGGGCATCCAGGTTCATCAACAAGCGACACAAACGAAGGAGCGAACGCCCAAGAACGAAGAACGAAACCTCAAACAAGATTTAACCCAACCCACGGAGTTGTATACGAGTCAAAGGTCTGCTCCAGAAGGGCTATTTCCACCTATATACACGTGTGTCAATCCGTGTTCGCCTCCGCTTAAGATTTTTGACAGCTATAGTCAGCACAAAAAAATAATCAAAGCCCAGATTCAGTGGAGGCTTCTCATGCTTGGGGGTGGCAACTTGTTTGGCCTGCATGCCACCAGAGGAATAGCTGAAGAGTTCTGCAACAAGCACCAATGGCATCTCACAAGGTTTCTCTCGGTCCAAGCCCCAGCTGGGTCGGTTGCTTGGTTGACTGTGAAAGAAAATTTATAAACTTTAAAAGCTTCAGGCATGTTGCAGCAGCGGCAGGCTATTTTATGCAGTCTGAAGTGGGAAACAAGATTGATCAGAAGCAAGTGAAGCAAGGTCTTCTTTTCTACCATAAAGATATCCACACATCGCGGTCAGGTCTTGTTGCCTGCATCTCGTTGAGCCAAGCTGTTAAGGAGTCGCACTCCTTGATGATATTGCTTAGCTTGTCCGGAGAGATGTGGCCGTACCTCTGCCACCGGTCCGATAAACACCCTTGTCGGTGAGGAGCTACAAAAATCTACAAAACAGGTGTCAGCGCCGTGCGAGCTTTCACAGCTGGCCAGACCTGCTTGATCCTTTGACCCTTTAGGCACTACATCTAGCTTGCAAGTGGGTATCGACGATTTCCCAACTGCGTTGATGAGAAAATGCCAACTCAGAAAAAGACGTAAGTACCCATATTTACCTATCCGTGCGGACAAACCTGAAACCAGTCTAACAAATCACTCCTCCATACCCGCGCGAGGCACGTCTCGCCAGGGTTCTTGGCGGCTTCGTAGTAGTTTTTGATGGTGCCTCAATGGGAAATCCAGTTGACTTTAGCTTTGTATAGAGATATAAAGCTGTTCTACCATCAAACAACCAATGAGCATCCATGCCGACAAGGCAAACTGAGCGTGCGGCCCTTCACGGCATTCACCCAATCTTCTCGCACCTCGTCCTCCTGTGATCATCAAACTTCTTGCTACGTTGGAACCTGTTTGTCACAGCTCAAGGCAAACAAAATGAACTTCAAAGCCAGTCAGCTAGTCACTAGTCGCTTTGCAACTGGCAAAGCTGTGTGGCCATACTGTCGTAAAAGATCGTAAAAATCATAAAAGGGCTTTGGCACTTGATCCCCAACAAGAGCCCCTTTACTTTGACCACTTCATGGAAACTTCGTGGTCCAGTCAATCCTTCGCTCCGTTCGAGCGACTGCACCAGTTCGAGTTCCGGGCGTGGGCGAGGGATCTCTTCGGCTCACAAACCGAGCAGGACGAGCCCTTCTTCCTCCATCAACCCGAAGAAAAAAGACAACGCCTGGAAGGACGAAGTGACGAAGTGACGAAGCCCGGTCCGACCCGGACTCCCGGGGAACTCCTTGAATCGGAAGACGGGCCCATCCCCAAGCTTCTTGAGTTCGTCCAACTTCCTGGGGTCGCACAGTGCTTTCTGAGCGGAGAACCCCAAGTGCTTGGAGAGTGACGAAGCACAAAGTGGACGAAGCAGAGTAAATCGCTTTTCAAGGTGTCCAAAAGAAATCATTGAGAGTTCCTCAAAAGGTAGAACCCCTTTGGTTCGCGAAGAAGGTTTGGTCCTCACTGTGTGGGCTGGTGTTTGGTCGGATGTTCCTAACCCTCAAGTCATTGGATTACGGGAAACCATGGTTGTCACCTGTGGATTTCCTGTGGGTTTCCTGTGGATTGGTCACCGCCAAATCCATTTCTGTGGATTTCCTGGTGGCCCCGGTGACTGGTTGTGACTCCAAAGGAAAAATGTTTCCCCTCAGTCAAAGCCACCTTTACAAAAAGAATGGTCTGGTTGCTGATCTGCGTCCCTTCAGTTTGAGTGCCAATAGGTTTGATCTGTACACTCACCTATCTTCGAGTCTTTTAGGCCGAAATCCATGCTTGTCACTGCTTGTCATTGTGGAGGACATCAGCCTGCCGTTCTAATGCATCCGGGCATCTCGATGTACTGAACCTGCAGAGTGTGTGATGTGGATTCTGTGGATTGCCACAGCTTTCACTGTGGAAGAAACGACTGACGAAGCAAAGTCCCAAGTATTTCATGGCAACTGGCTAGCCTCAGGTCCCAAGTGTTTCATTTCATGTTCTTTTTGAGTGACATTGAGTCATGAAGACGCAAGCTTGTTATATAGCAGCCCCAAATACAGTTGAGTAGTCAGGTCAACCAAAGTCAGATGCCACTGGAGGCACACTCCGATCTGACCTTTGGCACCCTCCTCCGATAAATGCCCCCGAAAGAACAGGTACAGTCTGGGGATCATCTAATTTACTACTCTGGGCCACTTATGTCAGGCAGATATCCTGTGTCCAAATAGCTTTTGCATTTTTTTGCGACTTTGCGACCGCGTGCAAGATTGACATTATACCACAACAGAACAACAACCTGTAAACCACAAACTGGCAAACATTGAAGGGTATTCGAAGGGCCCCACGGGAAAGTCGCCAGAAAATGCAAATGTCCAGAAAGTGTGGGGGTTCTATAAGCCAAACCCAAATCGCCCTAATAGATGGAATTGTTATCTTCACACCGAAACACACCCCCAAAGAAAGTGATTAACGAAATGGTTGATCTACCATCCCCCCCGATCGAACGCCGACCTGGATAGAACATGATCGAACCCTCCGAATCTCACGGGAAGTGCGGGAAGTGTCTGAATCGCTTGCCTTGGTAGCCTCCATGTTGTCATACAGCCAGTCCTCTGCTTTCATGAGCTCCGACTCCAGCTTTTCACGATCCTTAGGCTGAAGTAAGAAGCAAGAAGGCACAAAGTACGTAGCGCCAAAACTGCACAATACATAGCAAGCTGTAAAACCCGATAGTGAACTATGCCGAAAAGTCATGGCCAATTGCAGCAAAGTGTCTCCAGAGCTAATGAATGGTCCGTACTGGCCACCCTCGCTACACTTGTCCTGTCAGCGATGCTGTATTTGGATTCATTTCGTTGGACTGCACTCTTCACAGCCCCAAAGCCAAGCACTCTTCACGGTCCCAGGTCATCCGTGAGTCTCTCAGGCGAAAAGGACGGGAGGAAAAGCTGCTAGACCTTGTAATTGGCACCTGAGGGTTTTCTCCTACTTTGAGAGACAAGGCGATCCCATCCAGTCCCGCATGGTCAGAATGTAGGACTCGAGGTCATTTCTCTTCTCATCGGTTTCGATGATTTCCTTCGGCAAAAGTCAGTGGTCATCGACATGACCAACAGGTCTGTCTTCGGAATTGTGGCAACAGCTGACTGATGGATTGTTTCGGCCTTCATGTCAGCTTGCATCGCCGTCTCTTCGTCCTGCGCTGGGCAGAAAACATCTCTTTGGGGACCTTCTGGATAAACTTATATACATCCAAACAAATGGATTTATAGGGACCTTCTGGAATAAACTGATCAACTTGGTAAGTCCTTGTCCTCCTACTCCCTGTCCTCCATTTCTATCTCCTACCCATCCTCCGCTTCCTACTGATCAAATCAAGTGGTACTACAAACTCGCTGCTCTTGGCACCAACCCGACATGTTCAACAATCGAACCACGCGGGATCGGAAAAGAACACTTGTGCGACGCCGCAAGAAAACGCCACGGCACCGGCACGAGCGTGAGCTGCCTGCTGTTTTTGCAATGTCTTCTCTGAAAGGCCACAGATGTCGCTGGACATGATGTTGATGTCAGTGCGCTTGGTGCGCTTCTTCCTAGGGCAGGAAGGCTGCGGAGAGAGTTGGAAGGATCTTATAGGCTGCGGAAGTCAGTCATTCAGTCACTGGGAATGTGAGATCAAGTCAACTGAACCCTTCGTCTCGAGGGGTCTCCGGTCCTCACAAATCCACCAAGTCCACACTGAACCTTCGCAAATCGCAAAGGTTCAAAGCACATGGCCTAGAGTGACCTAGAGCTGACAGTGAGCTAGTGACCGTTTCGAGTGGGCTCAGGCTCGCAAGCCATTTTGAAGCACCTTGGCGGCCTGTGAGGCTGCCCATGTTCTCACCAGGGCACATCCAAAATGTTCAATTCTCATGGGCGGCTATTGCAGGTGATTCTTTTTGACCCACACAGTGCTACATCACAAGAGCCAGACCCAGTCCCACACACCCAGAGCCAGTCCCAAACTTCCATGTCGGACATGCGGCTTTTTGATGACTTCAACCCATTCAACCTGGCACAGTGGCTGAGGGAAAAACGCACAAAATCATTAACAATTTACCCGCAGTCATGAGGAGGAATCACACCCGTTCAGCTGTGTGTCCATCTCTGTCAATAGCACCAACATGTGGTCATCTTGCTGGGGCGATCCCTCAGTGAAAAAGCCTCGAAAGCGCATGATCTGAATCTTCAATTCTGCCTTTCCAGACTTTCCCATCCCTAACCGCATCACCGCATCGTCTGCAACTCCCCAAAAGCCAAAAGCCTGTACGCATCCAAATTGCAAAAGTTAAAGGGAGGAATCCATCCACGCTTCAGTCCTGCATCCCGAGAAGCAGTATTTAAGGGCTTACCAAACCAGGACCTCTAGCTGGTGCTTCCGTAGGCCTTCAGCTTTGACAAAGTAAAAGCGTATGAAGTTGGATGAATCCTGCCTTCTTTTCTGGTTCCTTCTTTGGTGACTCCTCCTTCTTCTCAGCCTCTCCCTCTGGTGCTGCTTCGCCCTGGCAAGACTGCTCAACAGCAGTTTGTGGCAGTCAGCCAGGGTCCAGGAAAGGTGCCCCTGTGGTCCGCCCCCCCTTAGAAGGGAGTCAGTTGTTTATCCTCTATGCATTGATTGTCGACACTTCTCTGTGGAAGAAACAGAACTCTGCAATGGAACTCAAGAAAAAGGATCAATCAAGCCTCCCCGACGCACCCATGAAATAAATCACATCCACATGCACAAGTTACACAAGTAACAAACTCACCAAGTAACAACCTTCTTTTTCGTGACCTGGAGTCTCGAGTCCCAATCGCACCTTGGGAGACTCAGGTTTCTCTTCCTTGGGAGACTCAGCTTTGGCCTCTTCCTTCTCCTCAGCCGGCACCTGGACGGCTTGGGTGCCAGTTTGGGGGTCCGGGTTCGGGATCTTGGGGACCGCGGAACGAAGGAAAAGAAAAGGGCCGGGGGATCAAGAAGGCCTTCGGAGGATGTGTGAAAATGAAAGGTTTTTGCTGCGAATTGACTTCCTGCGGCCTGGACGAACGCCTCTTTGCATTGCTTGGAGACTCACTCAGAAGTTGGCTTCTTCAACTCAAGCTATGGTCATGCCGTAGGTCCGTAGGTACCGTGTTGCATCGTCTGCGGTGTCGCACCTCGATCTCTTTCTTCTCCTTGACTTTCTCCTCGACATGAGATCTTCCACAGTCGCCATAACTGAAACCCTTCCCATCGAGCGTTTGAAGTATGGTTGGAGTGCCATGTTGCAAGCTTTCAATTCCACAATGCACCTCCTGACCGTGAGCAACGTCCGCAGAAAAAGAAAAAGTCGCCAGCACTGGAAAAGGAGGGAACCGAAGCTCGCCAGGCCTCGTATTCCTCTTCCTCCAGCATCTGGGCACCCTCGATGCCGAAGGTGCCTCAAGTGTGGCAACAAACATGTCCAGCACTGTGTTTCGGGGTATCCCCTTGGATTCATTCTTCAAGTAACTCTTCGGACGAGTAGGATCGCTTCACATGTCTCGTGCTCTTCGGCTTTCTTCAAGAATATTTAAGCCTTGACAGAACCGCTGTGATTGCTCTGCAAATATTCTATTGTTTGGCCAATAAGGTCTGATTATGATTGTTTCAGGATAGTTTGCAACCAACTTATGATTTGCTCCAAGATGCCATTCAAAGACAGCTTAGCCTGCATCGTGGCGTGCCCCCCATCCCAAACCACTAACGCCCCCTCGATCACCAACCTTGGAATGTGCTCAATTCCGTCACTATCCAAGACAGCCTCCATGTAAATGTACCAGCACAAGAATGACTTCATAAAGTGTTTCTCATCATCTCTATTCTGAGGAATATACATCACCGAAAACTGTGGTTTTCCAGGTTCTTTTTCCTAAGCCGCAGCCCACATAGGCGCTACATAAACCCATGGCATGACCAGTTGAAGATTTCTTCTGTCAAAGCCTGCCTTGACTTTGATCTTCTTGCTGTCTGCCGATGCTGGCAAATCTACCTCCAAGGGTGGCAATTGAACGAGGAAGCTGGGAAAAGAAGCTTCAAACATAAACTCAGGGCGCGATCCGAGCTCAGGATCTGCTAAACCCAAATGCCGTTCCTTCACAGCCCACTGGCGGACGCTGGCCCTGTGGTGATCCATCACACGACTGGACGGACATATCTTCAGATTCTCGGACAGCCTTGAAGTTGCCTAGGACCTTCGCGCAGCCTGGCACCAACCTGGCATGAGGCCAATCACTCCCTCATGCTGCCCTCCTCCTGCCAGAAGAGGGCCCTGGATTGTCCGATGCACTGAAAGTGCCCTCAATGAGGCAGGTTGGTCAAAAAGAATCATGTTCACCTGGTATATATAAATGGACCGTGAATAGTTAATAATACTATGTGTCTACCTCAAATTATATAAATGAACCCCAAATAAAACTATTGTTTCTCGACCCGGATTTTCAGCTGCTTCCAAACCTTTAGCGTGAAGGCCATGGTTGTCTACAGTCAACCTTCTTGTTTCAAATCTTCCTGGATGTCTGATTTGGCTGCTGCATTTTCCTTTTAAATATTCTTTTTAGGCGTTGCCATTTGTAACCTGAAATCAACTCACAAAGACTACCCCTTACAAGCAGCCCAAAACCTTCAATTTCTCCAGACCTCAAATAATGTAATACTGGTCTCCTCCTTTGTGAGAGGTAGAGAGATGGAAGAGCTTTCGAAATGAAAGGAAACCTAGCTAAGGTACCTTACGTTCTCCTCCTTTGTGAGAGAGGTGGAGAGATGGAAGCTCCACATGAAAGGAAGCTTAGCTAAGGTACCTTGCATTCTCCTCCTTTGTGAAAGTTCCCTTTACAATTTCTTAGATGTCCTTTTCTTTCCTTTCCTTCCCTTTTACGCACTTTCATTTCCCTTTCTTTTTTTGTCTCGGGCCTTTCATTGTCCTTTTATTTCAACTTCAGATCAAGATTTGTCTGGATTAGAGATTCTTTAGCCTCTGAACTTAAACAAGGGGAAGGGGTGGGTATTATTTAGAGGTCGACATTTCATTACAACATCAACATCCATTCTCATTCTCATTCCTCGCTTGCAGTTCTCAGCTCAGCCAGTGTGACGCAGAGGTGTCTTCGTACTCCAGTTTCAAGTCGAAGGGGCCCTTGCGATAGAAGGTGAGCATCTTCACCTCGAGACATCACTGGAGGAGGTCTTCACCTGGAGCCTCCTCCGCATTGTGTTGTTCTTTTTTTGCAACGTCCCTTTTTTGATGAAAAGATGCAATCAGTATCAATCAACCCTTCTTTTCTGGATTTAAACCTCGGGTTTCATGATTGAATTGGCCTTCTATCACTTTGTATTTTCGTTTCCAGATCAAACTCTCTGGTTCACGAATCCTTGAGGGAAGTAATTATATGAAAATCTATATGATTCTTGGGAGGTCTCCTCAGTCCAAACCCTCCACCCTTGCGAATCCCCCTTCGCTCATCCTCGCCACCACCAAGGCGCGGTGTTCATGAGACTGTTCTTCGGGAAGACCGTCATGGTCTTGTACTCGCCCTCACAGAAAGTGACCAAGGTTGTCGATGGAATAAGACTCCAACCCACTTTCCTAGAGAAGCTGCCAACAGTTGCTTCAACCAAGATTTAAAAAACTATGAAAAACTGCCGTTTCTGGTGCTTGATTCAGGTGCTTGATTCAGCCTCAGAAAGGGAAAACCCGTCTCCAGTGCTCCAACGAATGATGCTGGTTCAAGCTCTCTGCAAGCCTCAGCACCAGCCATGTGCTCACCATCCTCGTCAGCCTTTCCAGGAAGCTCCCACCAGCACAGTGTGAAGGCGACTGTACTACTACATCAAGAACTATCAAGCAAAATGTAATGGATGGAGTTAGCAATCCTAAAGTTAGCCGAGTCATCTCGTTGAAGTCAAGCTTCTAACACCATCTTCCTTCAACGTACTCATGGGATCATGGGACTGAAACGCCACGCGCGTGGCATCGGCCTTCTTCTCTGCTTCGGCATCTGCTGAAGATCCCATCCAACCGATAGTCACAGGATGTGGCGTGCAGTCCACCACTGTGAAGTCCCGCACCTGCCGCGAAATCGATGGAATCGATGGACTGAAACCAACTCTCGATTCCAACTGGAATCCATGAATTCGAAAAAATAAGGACACTGAGCATCATAGTTTTTAGATTGATGGTGCACTGCGGACCTTAATATTAGTCAAATAATTATGGCTTAGGGTCCTTAGGGTTCTTTCGGTGTGCTTTGCCCTCCAAGAAGAAACAACGTGACAATCGCTCGGGGCCCCGTGCCCCGTGCTGCCTTGTAGAGGGGCGACAGCATCGCAGCCTGCAGGGCACATCCACGAGCCACGGACTCGTCTGCGTTCATCGTGGTGGAGAGCTCCTCGTCTGCAGAGCGTGCACTCCAAGCACTTGAGCGTGCACTCCAAGGCTCAGGGTCTTCAAGCCCAAGACAAACATGAGCCGCAAACCATTTGCAAGAACTCGGTCATGGTCTGGAAGAGGCTGAATACAAGAGTTAAAAAGTATTAGCTCCAGTGTTAATGCTTTAGCTTTTTACATCTGTTCAACCTATAACTCTAGAAGAATTAACTCTGGAGTTAATTTTGTCAACTTTGCCACTTGCGCACATAGAGAATCAACTCTGGAGTTAATTCTTTGTCAGTGTGTCTCATTGTGTCCTTCTCT